TCCTACCCCTTATACCTTTATCACTCACACTCACTCACTCGGCTGAACTTTCATGCGGAGTAACGCACACGCACACGCACACGCACGCGCACGCGCACGCACACGCGCACACAACGCAGTGTCGCTAAATGCCAACAGCAAAATACTATTGTTATTCATAGCTCTCCCCCCCCCCACCTCCTCTTTCGTGCGTTTGTGCGTTTGTGCGTTTGTGCGTGCGCGCAAGTGCGAACGTGGGTCCGTTCATCCTCCTGCTTGGCCCTTCGTCAGCCCTTCCACGCGAGTCCGTCGTCGAATCTTGGAAACGGCAGCTTCTTCGTCGTGAAGCCCAGTCCGATTATTATCCCCAATATTATTATTATTATTATTATTATTATTATCAGTATAATGATTATTCTAAAGTTCCGTTCCGAGTAATTAAGCGAAGTATAGATTTGAAACGTAAAGCGAAATAAGATGAGAAGAAATGAATAAAAATGAGAATGGAAAGAGACGAATAAAAATAGTGGGTGAAGCTCTCGGGCATCGTTCGCGTCTCGTTCTAATCGTATATTTATCATCAGATAAATCTATAATGTTAAATATAGACGGTACGGTATAATCAGCCCGTCAGGGAGCATCAAGTACAGTCGACGCAGCCCCTCGACATCTACTGTTTGCAAAAGTATGAAACCCTATAGCGGAGCCTCGCCGCCTCGCAGCGACATCCGCGCCTCCCGACTAATCCAGAGACCATCGAGCATCAGTCGTCACATCCGAGTCTGACGGATCGCGTCTCGCTCGAACGACGGATTCACCTTAAGTCACGCAGGCGATCACGCAGCAATCAGTCTCGCGGCACGAGGCTTCCTTATTTTTCGTTATTATTCGATATTATTCCTGTTATTGTTATTACTATTATTATTAGTATTATTACTACTACGACTACTATTATTATCGTTATATCGACAGGGTAATTATATTACTGTGGCCACGAGTTCCTAAGTTGTTTATACATATATGGTACACACATATGGCCATGGGCAATTGGGCATATATCATACAGTCTGTCGTAGGGATCGAGGATTCTTCTCGTGTAGATCATATGGATCAACGCGACGCATTTTGTGCGACACGCTGTATGCGTATATATGCAGACGGAAGGTGTTGTGTGTGGATGAGAGTGTACGAGAGATTCTGCGTGTGCGCGCGCGCGCGCGCACGTGTCTATGCGTATATTATTATTATTATTATTATTATTATATATAGATAAGTAGAAAAAATCTTAATAGTATTTTACGTGTCTTTTCTTTTTTATTAAATGCAAGTAATGAAATCGTATCTAAGTTAATTAATCGATTAAACGGTCTTATCAATGATTCATCTCTCACTGATCGAAATACGGGGCGCGTCAGTTGATTTTTCATTTATCGTCGCCGCTCTCGTTACGCGCGTCGAGACGAAAATCTCTGGCGCGGTTATTCTTTTTTTTTTTCTTTTTTTTCCACCATATATTTCTTCCCTCTTGCCTTCGTTCGCCTCGTTTCGAATCTGCGCACTTTCGGTTTCAGGAATGTTTCTATTTTTTGTCTCGAAAAAGGACATTAACGAGGGAATCACGTCGATGAGATACTTTTGTCTTCCTTTTAATTTTTAGGTCCTGACTCCTAGAACCGCAAGTGCTAAATTTGCACGTGTGTATAATATGTATATGCATATGTATATCATCGTAATAATGTTACATTATAATTCCATATTATATATCTATATACTTTTACAGTAATCAATATTTATAATTTGTATAATTTTCATCGTTCTCGTAGATTTCGCATGCGCGCGTCTATAGTTTTCTTTATTTTTTTTTCTCTCTCTCTCTCTCTCCTGGTTCCCCTTTATACAATATATTCATCGTACTCGCATGTACATAGTATACGTATATGTACATACATGTTTTGGTGGTGGGTAAAATGGCGGAAGGCGAATTGGGATATAAGGATATTGGATCTTAGTACGTCGTTCAATTTTACGTCATATCGTGTAATTCAATAGTCTTGAAAAATCTGTATAATAATTCAGAATAATGAATTAAACTTGAATGTAATATTTTTTTTTTTTTTTCGTTATCATTAGCAATATTAAGTAGTATTTTCTTTACGAGAGACAATAAATGTGGCGACGCAAAAAATGCACGGGAGCAGTTTTATTTATTGATAACTTCTCTTTTTCTTTCACCTTGGTTATCATTTATAATGGCCGACCGCAACGCGATCGAACATCGGAGTGCCCACCCGCGCAATCGCTAACGTTTCCCAAGCAAAGTTACTTAACGAGATTCAAAAATCTACCGACTCGAAAAATGATATATATACATAAACGAACAAGAAGAAAACATCCGTCTTACTGTTCTTTAAAAAAAAATAAAAAATAAAAAATAAAAAAACTTAGTTTTTGCCCCAAGAGACAAACGAATGAAACATAAAATAAAAATATTTCTGTTCCCTCTTTGCTTGACCGTCGCAACTTCGGTGCTCGATGACGCGCTGGACCTTAAATTATTTACTTTTGCGAGATGAATTCTCTCCTCGTGATATAAGAAAATGGCGACATGCTATGCAATTTTAATAATACGGTATAGAAACAGCTACATTTATCTTTCGCCTTTACCGATCGTTAACGTATGTGCTAAAAGTCCTTTTGTCTTTCCTTCTTTCTTTTATCCTCCGCCTCTTCCTCTTCTCTATCTTTACATACGTTTTACAAGTATCGTTCGTATCGCGTTGCCACAGCGCCAATAATCTCTTTTACACACGCACACTTGGCTACGGCAATTATTATTACACTCTTAACGCTAATAATCGTAAATACCTACGAGAGTCTTTTTGTTTTGTCTCTTTTTTTTCATTAGACGTAAAGTGTTACTCATGTAAACTCATCGTTTTCTTCAAGCATTTTCTCAATCACACTCTCTCTCTCTCTCTCTCTCTCTCTCTCTCTCTCTCTCTCTCTCTCTCTCTCTCTCTCTCTATCACTCGTCTTTCACTTCGTATCGTTTAACTTTAATTAGTGTTTTAACGGTAGTTCATCGTTAAAGATCTTGGTCATCTGCTTGCAGTAAGTCTAAGTTAAGATTAAGTTTGGATTAATTTCTCATTGAACTCTGTATTCATCCAGTCACTCGAGAATTCACTCATTGTCAGACTAGAAGCATTTTAAACATTCATCATCATTTTGCAGAAGCGTTCTCTGCTCCCATTCTCTCTCACTCTTTCACTCTTTCACTCTTTCACTAATTCACTTTCATTCGTGCAATTCAATATTATTACAAACACATCGGGGTTACGTAATCGTGAATACGCGATAGCAGCGGAATCCATCCACGACGGGACAATACATCGTCTTACTAAGATTCATTTTTTGGATTTATCACAGAAAAACATTGTAATAATATTTAATCTTAACCCCACAGGCATTATGCACGCATCGCGTTCGTACCATCCACCCTTTTCGCCTCCCCAGCTGCTACTCATTCCTCTTCCTTCCTTCGTTCTTCCAGTAGATTCATCAATTCACGCGCACTTTTATTCTCCTTTCGTTTCACTCATTCGCTTCGACCGGAGACACGTTCCTGATGCTCTCTCTCTCTCTCTCTCTCTCTCTCTCTCTCTCTCTCTCTCTCTCTCTTTAAATTTACTTTTAGCGACGTTACGCGACGTACGAATAACGACAGAGTTTTGTAAAGCACTTAAGGGAAGAAACCACACGCAATTTTTCTGATTAAACGTTACGAAAGCTCCCAGGGGGTCCTCGAGAACCGAACAACTCTCTCTCTCTCTCTGTGTGTGTGTGTGTGTGTGTTTGTAAACAGGGGGATATATATATATATATATATATATATGTGAATATGTATAGGGAAATCCCACATGCTCCGATAACAGTTGATTACGAGTAGAGTGAGGAGGCAGGCAACAACGAATCGTGTCGACGTGAGAAATATCAAAATGAAAAAGTGTAAAGGGGACAAAAGTAATTTGATAATTCGTAATAGGTAATTCGAAAAGACCCCCTGAATTGCATTACGGCCCGAAATAGAGCGATAACTTTGCCACTTTCCGAATGACTACTTAATTATTTATATTATATTTGCAATTCACACACATCTGGCCCACACGCAAGCATTGAAATATTCAAAACTAACACCACTTATTGTTTTCCTTATCTCGCTTTTTTTTCTTCCACTTTTGATCATCTTCGTAATTTTAATGATAACTGTGCTCTCCTTCGTTCTCTCTCTCTCTCTCTCTCTCTCTCTTTATATTCCTTGCCTCATAGTTATATTTCCAGCAGCTTCTTTGGGATAATACACACATTATGTACAACGCTCAGACATTTATACTCTTGTCCAATTCACTTTTGTCTTTCACATATTTTTTTTGTTTTCTTTTAAACCCCACACGATTGGCAGTATATTTAACGTGTTAGTTATATAATTCCCGTTCGGAGATACACGCGAACCGACCGTATATTAACATGGGCACTTGCACACTTACGCACTTACGCACTTGCACATTTGCACATTTCCACTCGTCACGAAGAACTCAAATTCTCAAATAATTCATCATCTATTTCGTCTAATAAAACACGCACGTAGTGAAAATCTTACGCAGCCACGTGGTAGGTATTATTTATTTCTTCATTAGTTTAATGGTAATAGTAGCGGTAGTAGTAGTAGTAGTAGTAGTAGTAGTAGTAGTAGTAGTAATAGTCGTAATAGTACTTTTTCTTCTTATTTCTTCTCATTGTAGAAGAATAGTGGTAATGGTTGTGGTGGTGATGGTGGTAGTAGTAGCGGTACGTAGAGTAATTGTAATAGTGGGTATTTAGATAGAGTAGATTTTTCTTCTTTAGTAAAGTAGTTATTGTAATAATAATAGTATAAGTAAATAGTAGATACGTAGATAGGTAAGTAAGTAAGTAAGTAAGTAAGTAAGTAAGTAAGTAAGTAAGAGTAAGTAAGTAATTAATTAATTAATTTATATGCAATATTATACAAGTGCGGAGAATTCGTGAACTAAAGCGCGTCGTCTCCCATTCGATTTCATTTATTTATTATCTTTCGTTTATTTAAGTTTCGCAGCCTTTTAACCGACATCTTTCGCTCTTCAATGCGATTCTTTCTACAGATTACGATTACGTTAAGTTGGGATTACGTAAGGTCTTTTCGCTTTTCCTTTTCCTCTCGTATGTTTCCGATGCTTGGCTACCGAATCTCTACACGCCGCTCCTTCGTTTCTCACGTCCTCATGTCCATTTTGGCACGATCTTCCTTTCACGTATTCATTTTCTTTTTTTCCCATGTTTCGGTCTCGTAACACAATTGTATCATTCTGTGGACACACGTGTCACCGATAACGAATCTACCGAGTGTTCCACATTCACTTGGACTAGTCGCCTCGTATTTTCCTGTGTGGCCATGCCCGAACACGTGTAACGTATCATCGACGTTATCATCTACGTCCTTCGTTATCAAGTTATCCGCACTATTTCTTCGTTCGGTTCCCTCAGAGCTTTTTTATTTTCTTTAATACTATTAATTTTAATTTCCTCCCGCGCACGTCGCGCCGTTAGAATCGCATCAACCAATCTGGCTGTACACTTGTCAATCGCCGTAGCTCATTTCTTTCGCTTAGCTAAATTTTTTTATGTTCACTTCCCCCTCCTCCCCGCCCAACTTGCATTTAAATTCAACGAATGACGGAGCGATGCGTCAACGACGGAACCACAAAATCCCTGGATTGGCAACCGACGATGAACAGGATTTCAGCACCTCCGTGTCGCGCACGCCATTTAATATCTAATCATAACTGAAAGATCATCTTCGCGTTTTCGCAAAGGATTATCCCTTGTTTACTTTTGTATTTCTATGCATACTTTCCGTGCCGTCTTTTTATTTCCCGATTTACACTTTCCCCTGCGAAATTACCCTCCAGAGCAGACCATACTTTTTTTTCTTTCTTTTCTTTTAATTCTTTCTCTTACAATTAGATTTCTCAGATCTCTACGATTTCCGTTCCTTCGTTCATCATGCTAATCTATATCCGTGCCGTCGCGATTTCTTTGAACCATTATTTCATACGTTTGCTCTCGATATTCTTTATCTTCGCTTAAAGTAATTTTTGTGGCTGCCTTGCAAAAATCGGACTGCGTACAATTGCGGAGACTCGTTGAAATCTTTCATTCCGTTCGGGTTTTGCTCTCCTATCTTGTCCACAATTATTTCTCACGTTCCTTTCAACTCTTCTTCCCAGCCGCACATATACATATACTCCAAGATTCTCTCTCGTTTCACAATCACGCTCCTTTTCTTTCACTCACATGCACTCCATGCACTCCATGCACACTGCTCCTCTTTCAGCCTGTTTCTCGTTCCTACATTTTCACGCACGTTTCTCGTCCACTACGAGTTCTATAGGGTAATGTAGTTTAATAAGTGTAGTGAAAACGCGGCATTGATTTCTACTATGCAAAGTGAGGAGTGAATGCGCGCGAAGATCCTGCCGAGTTGCACGCGCACAAAACGCACAAAACGCACCAAACGCATCAAACGCATCAAACGCACCAAACGCACCAAACGCATCAGACGCATCAGACGCACCAAACGCACGCCATACACACTGACAAATCGCAGGACAAACGAATAACCCAAAGGGACCTCCGTGTCCACGCGGCCTAATATCCTCGCGCGCAACCATCATCGCTATTCCGTAGTGACGCATCGGCTTCCCACTTGCGATTGTCAGTCGATTCCGCGTCTATTTCGACAGTGGGACACCGACTTGTCGGTGAATTCATTAATGAACAATTGTTTTAGAGTCCTCAGCACTTCCCTTACGTCGGATCGGGTTCTTACTTCTTTTATTTTTCCACCTTCTTCCCCGCCTTCTCCCCTTCGCGGCTGTCGCGTGCGACTCCATTCGACAATCCGAGAACGCGCCTTGTCGCTTCACTTTTTCGGTTAAGTGAAACGAAAAACAAAAGACAAGAAGAAGACAGCTAACTGCAAAAGGGTGCACTGTGCTTGCGAGAAGCTTCGAGCGTGACTTCCCCTGACTCATTGTCAGTCGTGACTTTAGTCTTATGGGAAATCGGACATTTTTTTAATCATTAACGCGACATTCACGTTTCCTCCGTTTCGCGTAAATATTCCAGTACGTAGATTCACGACCTCGAGTGCAACTATTAATTCAAACGTAGGGTTTTATCGCAAGAAAATCGTATAAAAAGTGGATACCAATTCCGCCCGTTAGATCGGACATTTCAACGAGGGACAGATAAAAACCTGATAAACTCGAAGCTTTTCTTTTTTTCTTTTTCTTTAAAGGACTGTTGCGTATGCGCCTTTCTCGTAGTCACGCTCGTACGGTTCTCGCAGTGTTTATCCCTTTCATAGTTTTTCGTCTTTTTAACTGTTATCCTGTATTCTCCCGCAAGCTTATCTCTACGGTGAAAGTTCGACCCCCCATTCACTAGAAATTTATATTCTCTCTCTCTCTCTCTCTCTCTCCCTATATATATATATATTTCTTACACATATATAATTAAATCCCTTTTTGCACTGGGGGAGTGTACGTATATGTATATTCATCCGATCCACCCGACGGATCCTCTAATTCGCTCGATCCTCGAGAGAGCCAATCGAAAGGGAGGATTTTACTCGCTTTCTCGGAACAGATCGTAGAGACATTTATCGGACGTGTGTTTGTCGCGCCGGTGCTGCCGCAGCACAATAATCAATTGAGTGACCCCTTCCGGTCGTCCCGGTCGTCCCGGTCGACGCGATCGACGCGATCGACGCCATCGTTCGTTCGCCCGTTTCCTCGCTGGCTCTCTTCTCTTCCTTCCTTCTCTATCTCTTTGCCAATCGCATTGTCGAAGCGCATCTCAAACCGACTGCCTCCAGCGGTGTGACGCAATGATTAAGAACAACCAAAAGAAACCTGATATATCAAAGTAAAACGATAGTACACTAAAGCAATACGATAAGCCCAAAGAGACCCGAATTCGATAATCTGGGATTCACGCGCAAACCGAAAGACCCCGAGAAGCGTCTACTTCACCAGACCACCGTCCAGGGTCCCACTTTGGCTAGCACCAGTCGTCCTCGTCGCTGTCCGAGTGCCTCGACCTCGGCGTCCTCTGCTTCTGCTGCGACGGCTGCGACGGTTGCGACGGTTGCGAAGGCTGCGGCTTGTAGCCGTTCGGCACTGGACTCGGGAGCAGCCGGCCACCCCGTCCCATGGCCACCGCTTGCTCGAAACTGAGTGGACAGTGGGCAACGGCAGCGTTGCCCGGGGCCACGTGGCCTGGCACATGAGGCCCGGCTACGTGGGCCATGTGCGCCCCGTGCGTGGGAGACGCGTTCAGTTTAGGAAAGTTTATGTTCGCCGGTTTGAGCTGCAGGGTGGAGGGCTTGTTCGGCGTTGGCGGCAGCCTGCGACCCTGGCCCCTCTTTGGCACCAGCACCGGGTAGCTGTGCTGATGGAGATGATGCGGTTGCGCTGGCTGCCTCCCGCCTACGGGACTCGGACTTCGCGAGCGCTGCTCCAGACTCGTTGTACCGTAATGGCGACTGTGATCCATTCGGCGCACAGGACTTGGCGACCTAGCTGGACTGGTCGACGCGCTCCATGAACCTGATAAACCAGTTTTTCACTATTCCCACTTTGCGTATTTCAACTTTTCAACTATTTTCTTTGTTTTTGGCATTAGTGCTATGGCATTCCATTTTTTTTCTCTACACTTTCTTAAGTTGTTTTGCACTCCCGCTCTATGGTCGGCTCGCAAGCTCAGTTCAACGTATAGAACAATGACAAGAGATAGTTTTTCAAAATGGAAACTGAACTCCCGACCTGACCACAGACAACGCTAATTACTCCATTAATCTATTATGATTTCAAGTTTTCGGCTGGGACAGCTACTATATTACGTTTTTTTCTGAAATTATCGTGACACTCTACTGTAGTATTAATATGCTAGAGTGCCACGATCATTCCAGTCGGACGGCTGGAGAATAATTATACTGGAGCTTCATAATTTGCCATCTCTTGATTCTTTAAATTGTCGTCCCGTCATTGCATGGGGATGCACGCTTTATTTCAGATTACTGCTCGGTATACAAATTCTCCATTAAAAAATAATATAAAAAGGCACTTTGTGCTAGTAATCTATTGGACAAACAAAAAGGTGCACATAACACTAATCAATAAACTTCAAGGAGGCCAATTTCGTTACTACTTATTTTACACCCCTTTGTAATTGAGGAAATTTTAATGAATGCGAGGCTAAAAATTGGAGTCCTTGATTCGATACAAAAGAAAGACAATATCGACATTGAAACATCACAGTATATACAATAGTCGAAATACTATAAAGAAAACTAATCTAAGGGATACATAAAGACAAGAAATTGGAGTGACGGATCATAATCTCAAGACTACTGTGTAACAATCGCACAAAAGCTCAAGCAAAAGCTAAGAAGCTAGTAGTCGAGTACGCAGCTCCGCGTTTGTACGTCACTGCTTAAAGAATTGGTTGGTTCAAAGTCGCCATCGGAAGTCTCAATATGTCAAACGCGTCAAACGCGTCAAACGCGTCACACGCCAGCAGTCGACAGGTGAAAACGAATTTCTAAAGAATTCGGGTATGGGTCCGCGAGGAAGATGAAAAACGAACAAAAGTAAAAGAAAAGATAAATTCTGTGAATCTGGAGTAACGCGTTAATCAGCCTCCATGTCGACTACCGGTTCTAACGAAAGTGACTGTCGCGGTTATACGTGCTGATTGGTTACGTGCAAAACAAAATAAAAGTATTCTACTTGAAGACACTTTTTCAGCAAAACGTGAAAAACTGTTAGAGCCGTAGAATGTAAAAGAGAGGAGACGCCTCGAGGAGATGATATCGAGACTCGTGAAATTTCAATGGTCCCAAGCTGTATCGGACTATTCCTCAAAGACAATCGAATCCTTCGAGTCAAGATCAAATACGTCTTGATAATATTCCTCGATGAGGCTACCAAGTCATGGAACATGAACTCTACGTGTAAAAAAAAAACTTTACGAGACAATCATCAACCAATGGTTATTTACAGGCTGTTAAAGAAAAAAGAAAAAAGAAAAAAAAAACCAAAGAGAGAAGAACTAGGGAAGAGGTAAGAAGCTACAAGAGTAACTAAAGCGAACGTTAAGGAAAGTCGTATAACGGTGTGATGTTAGAGTGTTTCGAAAAACGAGCTAAAGCCGACAGAAGTCATGAAAACTGCATGGGAATTAACGGAAGGATCTATTAAATGGTTCTCGTGAAAGAATTACCATCGTCGTAATAGTCGCAGTGGTCGTAATAGTCTGCGTTGCGCATAACAGAACAGAATCAAGAAACGTATTACATCGAGTCACACAGAGCCAGAGTCACTCTGCCTCGAGCCAATTAAAATATATTTGAACCTTTTGCAGCGCATTCGCAACATCTCACGCGGCCTGTCGAGCCACGGAACATTCGTCCTCGAGATCGAATTACGAGATTTTCAATCGCGAGGCGTCGCTCGCGTGGCGTCGACCAAGTCAAGGTCAACTCTCTCGCTCTTATCACAGTCGGAGATTCGCTCGAGATAACATATTTAATTGTTATTGGACAAGTACTCACCCCGTATTCTGTGCCGATGATTGTACTGTGACATGTGTGAATGATGCGTGTGCCTCTGGATCTCGACCACGTTGCTCACCGTGTCGCTGAATCCTGGCCCATCGTGATAAGGATGACCGTGATTATCGTATCTGTGTCTTCGCGGCGATGGCGACCTCTGCAGGACCGGCGAATGCCTCCTGCGAACGGAACAGAAGACGATTATTCGGGTGCGAAGTCCGGCTGAACGAGAGCAAAAGATCAGAGGGCCTCTCTCGACTTGCCTTAAACTTGGAGAGCGGGAATGATGTCTTGGCGGATGAGCGACGGGATTATGCGGATGCAGCTTCTCACCGGTGCGCGTCAGACTTTCGAGACTTCCGGCCCGCGAATCGCTAACTACCACGTCCTGCAGCTCCATCTAAATTAAACGTTAATAGTGAGCAATTCCGTTTCGTCTCTCGCCCTAAGGATTTCTTCCTATTTTTTCCTTTTTATCTTGACTCTATTTCCTTTTTTCTTTTTTTTTTTCTTTTTTTCCGACGAGCTCGCCGTGGCTCCGATTCTTTGGCGTCGACTTTTCTCTATTTCCGTTCAAATCATCGCGTTTATTATTCGACGACGCCTTTTGCCTCACATTATTTAGCTCGCGTGGTTCGAACCGTCATATGAATGGCAGCGATCATTTATTTTACGAAATAAATTTTGCCTTTTTCTCTTTGCTATAGACAAACGATAAGAGTATGCAATTTCGATTAAAAACGTATGACGCGACGCGCACAATGTCCCCACGGTTCGAATCACACGCATCGTTTTGTCCACTCAGCGTGTAACATAACAATACCTGATCTCTCAAGATCTATCAAATGGAAAGTATGGACAGTGTAAAATCAATCACATGCAGTAAATTCGACATGCACATGCGTTTGGTTATATATATATATATATATGTAACTATAGTATGCGTATCCTCCAATGTTTCCTCGATAATAGTAAAGAGTCAATGACGATTTAGCTAGCTCTGTAACACTGAGGTACCCCGTACTTACCAGCCGTACAGGTAAAGAAACAATGCAAAGGGGAAATATACAAAACCACTGGGAAGTCGTAGGTATGATAATTATAATATATATATAGTGACAGTGAGGGTGGTGGTAGTGGTGGTAGTGGTAGGAGAAGGACCAGGAAGAGTAATAGGAGTAGTAGGATTGTTCATCGGTACTCTAACATCCTGAGGATGGTCGAAAGTAGTAGCTAGGGAAGAGCTATTACTAAGACTATTTCTAATGACGTCTTATTGTTCTAATCCCCCCCCCTCTCTCTCTCTCTCTCTCTCTCTCTCTCTCTGTTTTTGTAGCTACCTTTTGCTATATTTTATACTACTTATACTACCTGTCAGCACTATGTATCTATACTGTTTACTATTTATTTATTATTCTATTTACACCACTTGTCAGGATTATGTATCTATATTGTTTATATCGTACCTGTTTCTCTACTATTATCAATTATCTATGTAAATATCGCTATTTTGTGTTACCCGGTCTAAGGAGTCTGTTGACTCCCGATCGAATAAACTTATTTCTCTCTCTCTCTCTCTCTCTCTCTCTCTCTCTCTTCTTATCATTCGAACTTTCATCACTTGGGACTTGGTACTACGATTGCTCGTCTCTTCCGAATATTAGAATCATCTAGTGTCAACTCCACTATCAGGTGTAATAAACTATATGTACATATAAACATATATCGATCTCCAAAATGACGTATCGTGCTGAGATCTTGATGACTGGGGAAATATAAAAATTAAAACAACTGAGAAACATGACATCAAATTGGAGTTTTGGAGTTTTTGACCAGTTCGATCGACAAACGTAATTAATCTGCACTACGGTTTCTTGTTTTCTATGTTGACAATCAGGAGATAAACGAAAAAAAAAAAAAAAGAATGCTCTTCCAGGGAAAGTGCCAACTGGAAATATTTGGCAAATGCTCATTCACGAAATCTAACCACTGAATTCTACCTTCTCTAAGGGAGCGTGTATACAGTGTGCATCTTTGTATGAACATCTCTCTAGTACGTGTGTCTGAAAGATAAGCTTCCTAAAGGTATCATTTCTATCGAGTCGACAATGATCTAATGACAACTATAATAATACAAAACCAGTGACTCTCTAATGCCTAAACACGCTTAGTGAACACGAGATAAACATTGCGATAAAAGTAGGCTCGACGATTTTACAAACCGAAGTGAGATAAAGAAAGAGAAAATGAGGAAAACGTAAAAAGAATGTAAAATTCATCGAAACGAAGTCAAAAAGAAATGATCCTCGAGGCTTCGAAGAAGCCAGAGACAAATGGCAACTGTTTAATTTCTAACTGCTGTTGAAATTGTTCGTTGTCAGTTTTGGACCGAGTCGACACCTTGAGGTAACGGATTGAGGAGCGAGGTGCGTAGGTGTTCTGGTGTTGATAGTACGAGGGTGGTCGGTGATGAAGATGGTGGTGGTGATGGTGGTATTGATGATTGTCGGTATCGTAGTATTGGTCGTGGTGGTGGTGGTGGTGGTGGTGGTAGTGGTGGTAGTGGTCCTGGGAAGGCTCTGCTAGCAATGGCTCTAGCTCAGGGGCGCGTTCCTCGCCATTATCTACGAGTACAACCCCAGACCCACCCACTCCCTGGCTACTCTCTCCGCTGCTCCCTAGTTTATCGTACTGGTGGGACATCATCCAGTTCACCTTTTTGTTCCTGAAATCCAGACAAGCACAAAGACGTGGCTGTAGTATGTCAGGGCGCATCTCCACCGGGCAGACTGACCGGTCAAGACGGGAGGTTAAGTCGCCTACCTGATGCTACGTTGTCGCCTTTGCTCGGCGGCTGCCAGGGCCCCTAGGGCCCCTTCCTCCTCGTCGCGCGGCTCCCGGCGCTGATCACCACCTTTGGTGTCAGTTGCCGGGCCTGGAGGTGGCTCCAGGCTGTTCGCCCTGCTCCCGTTCCCGTGGCTATTCCCACCTGTGTGGTTCACTCCGGCCATGTCCAACAGGCAGTTGAAGAAGGTCGAGTGCTGTGCCAATTTTTTAAACCCGAAGTCAGATTCGCACGCAGTTTTGCCAAAGGCGAGAACTAACCCTCGTCCACAGGCACATACAGGCTTTTTCACCGCGTTCGGATGCGGCGTCTTAGTTTCTTTTTGTAGAAATGCAAGTTTTTCTTTTTTTTTTTCTTTCTTTCTTAAATGAGCTTTACTCTAACGTGCTGGGTCTCGTACGGGGTATGTACGAATCACGCTATACCCAACACCGTGAGCCTTTGACATTAGCATAATTCGTTTCTTTTTATTTAGCAAAAGAGATGCTCGAGAAAACCATGCCAGAAAAAGTGTCGTGGTGGTATGGTGCAGAAGTGTTATTGAGAGATATAAAATTATGCATATATATACAATATATATATATATATATATATATATATATACACATATATATTATTCGAATGAATTTCTTTAATCCGGCGCTAATCTCGCGAGGCCACACTGCCAAATTTTCAACTGGACATTTCTTAAGCTCCGAACGATCTCGCGAGGTCAGTACCACAGATTTAATGTTTCAATAGAAGTTCGCAAAGGCATTACTTTGTATTTTTCTTCGTCAATAAGTCTTGCTATTATCGAAAGCAAACGAAGGCAGCAGAATTGGTAGTTACGACGTTACCGTTATAAGAATAAACGCGATTACCTTTGCGAGCGTTTCGTTCTAGAAAGCCTGTATATGTTTGTTAGGTCGGTATTGCGAGCGAGTTATTTATAAGACACGTGTCAATGTGGAGTAATGAAATTGTAAGTACGAACGAGACACAATACTCATTAAAGATAATTAATATTGTTGTAATACAATAATAAGTAAACATGCATCAACTGGCGAATCGCCAAGGAACCGAGCGTTAATTATCCTCGGTAAATCGTCGAAAGTGCATCTGCGCCTTAAGTGATCCAGGCTGTGATCCGCTGTCTACAGGCCGTTTCAACTTGGTCTGCCTGCCCGATAACTAAGACTCGGTCCATTGGCTTATACCTCGTAGCGTGTTACGTGAATGCCGACCAATTCTAAGAGACAAGATAAGAGTCAGCGAGATACGCAACAGGAATTACGAGTATTTAAAATCGCAAGCTGATAAGAGTACGATTAATGAAATTAACGAATAAATGGACAATAGACAAAAGAGCGTTCTTCTTCAACTGTACCTGGCACGCGCACACAGCAGAGTCATACGGGGCAGTTTGAAATACGATCTGTAAAACGCATGCCTGGGGAGTGCTACCGATTCAACTGGGGCAGACTTTTAGTATTGCATTTTTTAATGTACTCGCTGCGTCTACAAAATCCCAACGGGTCACTCGGCCAACTTCAGAGGTCCGGGGTGCTCGAAGAAATCTTGCGGATTCAGCCGATACTCAGCCACGCGGACGGTTACTACTTTCGACATATTTTCCTTTCCGTTTTTCTTCAAGAAAAATGTGACAAAAAATGGTACCGATCGACAGCGTGGCACAAGGTGCTTTTATCTCGTGGATTTTAATGCTTTCCAGATTTAGTAAATTCTCGTAAATGCGCATTAGCAGAACAATCAAAGAAATACGTGGTCTAAGGTGTTCAAGACAAAAAGGAAGAAGAAGAAGATGATACAAGCGACATTGGTAAATAGATAAACGGAGATTGGTTTCACTACTGCAATTCGCAAAAGATTCATCTATGTCAATTAAATCTTCTAAATCTTCTCTAAGCTACACGATACGTATTCTAATGTTATGTATCAGTCAGTCAAATACGTATATGTAGTTTAAATTAGCGAGCATTAAATATTGCGAAATGGCGAAAGAAGGAAATGGCTGCTCGAGGAACGCACGATGAAAAGACACATTCGCCTCTTTTTTTTTTTCATTTCCACGATGGATTTTCCCGAGTGCCAATTTTCTTGGTAATTTTCATATTTCCACTTTTCCCCCCTCTCGTAAGATCCGAATCGAAGCAAACCGAGCACGTGGTCTGCACGTTATGCTACTTCAGTGCCGAGGAGACGTTCCTCTTTGAAGAGCCAATTTGGGTGGCCTCCCCGAAGGGAGGGAGGGAGAAAGAGACTTTGGAATTTCAGGGCAGAATTCGCCGAGCGATTGTGAGTTCCTCAAGGCGACAGCAAAGAGAACGATAAAAGAGAGCTGACGTCTTCAATGTTAAAAGTAAGGAGGAACGAAATGCGACGAATGCACCTCGAGTCTCGACCGGAAGTAAGTAGCCACTAAGTAGGTACTAACTCTCTAATTGTAAGTAAGAGATCTAAGATCTAGCTAATGTTACCATCTAGATAAGTACGCAGCTTGGCACATTGGTTGACAGTGCTCTAGAAGAATGCAAGTCGTTATAAGGTGTGTCTGGTGTGGCACTGCAATGAAATCGTACTGGAGGCAAAAGGCGAGACAAAAGGTACCAGTTACTACACTACGCGACTACGGTACTAGAGACAGCGGAACAAGGAAAACGCGAGACCCTCCGCGATCATTCGTATCGACCCGCTAACGGGTCGCGTTAGACGGATCTCGTTAGACGCAAACACTCGTCTCCGGTGAGGCAGGCTTATACTTTTCTACTGAATGCGTCGACGCGAAAGACGACTTATCTTGGCCTCGCTATTTTTCACTAATTACGTGCGTGTCGATGCGCAGATAATCAGATAATAGATGAGATATAAACATTTTCCACGCAATGACACGCACGTTCTACATTAAACTGCTTTTTACGAGACAACTAAAGTTCGGAACGTTTCAATTTTATATATCATTTGCTTTTTCTCCTTCTATTTATTCTCTTCGTGTTTTGCTTCGCGTGACGTTGCGTGCGGCGAATAGCTTGAAAGATGGCCGAGATTAAAGTTTCCGGCGATTCGACAGTAAGAAGAAATATTAAGACGGACAAACAGAGAAGAGGGCTAATGTAAGAGGGCTAAGCGAAAGACTCCCTTCGTTTTTATTTTATTCTTTCAAGTATGCCCATTGCACCAAGCTAAAGAATAGTCAGAATTATTGTAATCTACAATTTAAAAAACTGCACGTTTTCCATGTTTTTAAATACATATCTACATATATACAATATATATGTCAATTTCACGCGAAATCACTAGGAATACTACTGTGCGGAAGATTCAGCAAAATTATCATGATATATAGAATTGAAAGATTTAGCTGTAATCAGCTGGTTTTCAGTTTTGAAGGGTGAGTGAGGGGCAGTGAAGGTGACTGTTTTCTTTTAGCTGGGCGACTAATAATCCAATAATCTATTTGAGGAGGATTCTCTGAAATGCTCTAAAAGGAACTAGTGGGGGTGCCTAAAAATATTTTGCAAAAAATTGTGGCTGTCCATGTGCTCCTGTTTTGCGGGTAAATGGATGTGTGTGTGTGCGTGTGTACGGAGATCCTTTCGTTAAGCACGGCCACAGTGGTTCTCGTTCCATGAGCGAACATTCGTTTCTTCGAGAATCTAGATAAACGTTTATCGACGATATCACGTGTCGATATCAATGGGAAACTCGAGAGCTTAGAGTTTTGGTAAAATAGAAAATACTATCTAGCAGCTTGGGCGAAAAGGCACGAGAGAAGAACGGTGGCCGTGCCGCTCTCGCAAGTGTCGGGATTCCAGTGAGAATGTGAAAAATATACATAACGCCGAACCAAAGGTTACTTGGTAAAGGATATGGTACAAAAGAAGGAAACCCAATACAGACTGCATGCATAACGCGTATAGTGTTGAAAGAATTGCAAAGTTCCAAGTACTCTGGTAGATGATCCGAAGTAGATATTACGAAGTAGCAATCCAACTGCTACACTTTGATCGGTCAAAGTTTCCACTGCCGTCAACATTGGGATAACGTGCCAGAGTGCTTTGAAACTGAAAGTGAATGGTGAAGAGGATTATCGTGATAAACGTGAAAAGAACGAGAAAAGGCATGAAGGAATCACCGGCTGAACTTACGGTCGATCAGGAATTATTTCAAAATGCGAATCTCCCGGCTCAGCGTCGGTAATGATTCTTTCATACGGTTTGTATTCTGTCATTAAAAACGGAGGATTTTTTCAAATAAAGAAGCGAAGGAAGACATAAAGTGAGACGATGAAAAAGGGTGTTAAGTAGGAGAGAAGTAAGAGAAAGAAGTAAGTACTACCGCCTGGGCTGCAGGACTTTGCCCGGCATTATCGTTATCGATAAGATCGTTATCGTTCTGTAAAACAAAGAAAAAACACACAAAGAGATGATTGAGAGCTGCGTGAAGATCCTCTTGTCTGGGTAGTATGTTTAAGTATAGAGTATGGTAAGACTAATAGAAGACTATAAACTAATAATCTCCTTCAAAGTATCTATTAAAGACTATCTATAGAGTCAACTGGACTATCGCCTAATGTAAGTCACCTACAACATCAAGTCAAATTTGTTTTCTAATCTCGGGAATCCCGAGTAGGCCAAATAACTTGCTCGAATCTTCGTACTTTAAGAAGTTCGCTTCTATTGGAAAAATTAAAAATTAATCGAAACACACTCAACGCATTTCTCCTACCAAACAGGTGGATGGGACACTCTATCCGTTATCAATTTATCATCCGAGGACTGGACTGACGTCCCTATTTTACTAACAAGATAAACCTTTAGTATATTTAATAAGTTCGAGAACGAGGAATCATTTATCCCTCATTTCAATAAAGTCACTATCGTTGCTCTTGCTAAACTTTTTGGCAATTAATCATTTCTCGTTCTTGCGGTGCAATCCAAGTGAAGCCAGACTCTAATTGTCAATAAGCACAATGAATTTTGAAAAATCGTATAGACTCTTGCTCCACTTCGATGAGTTTCTATTGGATGGTTCGATCTAGATCATATTGTATGTCGGTAATATTCGATAGATCAATATCAGGGATTTGGATTAATCTACGCTGACTGGTTGCACCAAAATCGAATCGATCAATAAATTAATCAGTCAAACAATTCCAGGATGGGTCACATCGAACTGCTTCTACACACATCGAATGGACTATAGATCCTTTAATGGAATCAGTGAAAAATCGAGCTATCCTCGAATTTCGTTCGAACGATCGTTACACCATCGTGTTCTCGATTTGTGATCCTAGGATCGGGTCGCCAACTTGTCCCGTTCGATAAGACTTGCTCGAGAATTCTCGAAAAGTAATTTCGAGTTGTCGGAAAGATTTTGAAAATAAACGACCCGTCCGTCGGACCATAAATCGAGCGTGTAATAATTCGCGTTCTCTTATATAGTATATTTATCTATGTATGCATAGTTATAATATCAGGTACGTATGTACTCTTGAAACTTGTCAGCACTACTCAGCCACACAGGAAACTAATTGCAGAATGATTGTGGGAACGTGGGAAAGTCAGGTCGGTTCCTCCACGAATCTATTGCCACACGCTTCTATGAACAGTACTATCAGAATCACTGTTTCGATTGTTTTGGTTCACTTGGTCGATCCCTAGAGAAACCAGAACCTGGACTTTACTAACGTCTACTATGGGAATCTCTGGATCAGCCTAACGTAAAATATTCTCGTCACGGCATCGGCCATCAAATTCCTACCACGAAGAAGCCAAGGACAAACATTCATTCGAACTTAATAGTTAACCGAATGTCTCGTCTCTCCATTTCCCCAATCAACGATTCTACGTTCGTTTTCTATTTCGAACGAAGGAAAGTAGCACCCGGCGATGGAGCGAGAGTTTGTACGCAGGAATCTCGTCCGACGAAATGAAAGATGTAAAAAAAAGTTAAGTAAAAAAAAAAAAAGTAAAAATAATTTCAACGGTCCCGGGTAACTGAATTTTGGCTGAATAATTAATCGCATTGTATGTAATAATAATAGGACCGATCGATCCTGATTGAAACTCACCGGCGGCCCGGATGCTTCTATCTGACCGAATCTCGTTGTTCTCCAACTTTCGAGGATCAGCAGCCCAGCGTATATCTTACCCACGGTCAAATTGTCTTTGTTCAAAACTGGAATAATAAGAAAATATAAGTAAAAGATAATTATGATTAAACAGCCGATTTGAAATGATCCAATCTTCTCGACTCACCTTCGTTCCTTGGTATCAAAAGGTCCAGCATCTTCTTCGCCTGAAGCGGCCAAATATTTCTCACCGTATCTCTCAACTCCTCGTCGGCCTGATCCATCTCCTCGGCTGGAAAAAGTCGTTTAATCAAAGTAACGCGTGACCGACCGATCGATACGAATGATTATGAAAGAGGGAAGGAAGAAAAGTAAAAGAGAAAGATGCTCCCCACTAACCAGTTCGCATCTTTATGCTGAGATTCTCGCGGATGAGCGCGAAGAGGGTGGTCGTGAAGTTGACCTTCCCGTCGACGTCGACCGGCATGTTCATCCTGATCAGTTTCTTGTAAGCCAGTCTGTTGGGGCACTTGTTGCCAAACCCCAATGGCGGATCCATATTCTTGAGCATGTCGTACATCTCCGTGTAGTGGATCTTCCCTGTGGCGTTGGGATCGTACTCCGCCCATATCCTGACGAACTCGTCGAGATGATGGGCGCCGAGGATGGACGAGTCGCGGGTGAGGTAGTCGAAGTTGTCCATGATGACCGCGACGAATAAGTTCAACATGAGGAAGGAGCAGAAGAAAATGAAGGATACGAAGTAGGCGTAGGCAAGATTCGAGCCGCAGGAGTCCTGATCCGGTTTTTGTACTTTACTGTCGCACTGCCGACCCTTTATGCACGACAGCATTATGCTCGGCCACGCCTCGCCGGTCGCGCACCTGATCAAAAACAATACGGAGAAGCATTAGTATCTTTACGAGGAGCTTCCTTCTCTTTCTCTAGCACGTCTAGCTCCTCTAGCTCCTCTAGCTCCTCTACCCTTCTCCCTCTCAAGGCTATCTATTTGTCAAGCGAGCTGCCGCCCGAAGCCTGGAATAGCCATTACTGCTACGGAACACGTTTAAACTCAAACCTTTATACTTTCGGATCGAACTGGCCAATGGGTATTCCAGCTTCGAGCCACAAAAGGGTCATCCCCCTCGTACAACGTGTGCAACAACAAAAGCGCGGCTTCCAGCTTTGGGCCTCGTTTACCATTATTCTACCAATCTAAGGGTCAAACGCGTTATCCGCAACGTAGGTTCTACTGGGCGGTAGATACTGATAACTGATAAGTATACAATAAATCAAGCTAAGTCAGTCTCTGACTTTTCTTTATTTTCTCTTGCAATAACTGATGGCTACTCACAAAGAAAAACGGACCTCTGTGTCATCTCGTGTGCTTCCCTTCGAGTCTTGTGTTTGTCTTTTTATCAAATACTTCAGTGCAATGCCTGACTTTCGTTTTCAATGCAGGACGTCTACTATTCTTGGACAAATTTTAATTCTAACATCATCAGACGGAGAAGCAATAAGGAGAATCGAGACCGAGCGGAATTTTGATAAATTTCATTGATCATAGACAACGATTAACGATTAGGTTAAAGTGACTCTCATTAGGCCTATTAAGGATGCGCGTTCGTATCAGTCGGTCGACGAGACTTTCAAACGGAACGTCGACCGACGTCACGTACAGATACGTACTCGTGTGTCTTTCGTGTCTAATTGCGTGATTTGGTGTTGTCTTTTTTTTTTAGTCTCCATACGTCTGAGATTAATACTTACCGGAAGAGCAGCATCAGACCTTGAACGAAGCTCTGGAAATTGTTGTGACCGGTAATCGCGGACTCGGGTTCCAGTGCGATGTTACCGAAAACCTAACCGAAAAAAAAACAGCCAAAAAAGCCATAGAGCGTTAAAGATGTCGTTTTTGAATTTTCAAAGTCTTCATTAATTTTTCTCACTGATTGGTTCAATTAGAATAGTCACGATATCCATTCTTAACCGATGAAAGAATGCCTGTGACGTTTCAAGCTTTCGACAGATTATCGTTTTTCTTATTCTTTTTTGCTTTTGTCTTTTACTGCATTCGACTAATCCGAAGAAATATTTATCTCTCGTAAACGTGTTCAGTTGGGAATTCAGTTCGTCTTGCACAAGAGCGCATGTATCCGACGACGTATAAAATCGAAAGAAAGAAAAGAAAAACGAAAAAACGAAAAAAAAAAGAAAGTGAACGAAGATACAGTAAATAAAAGAGATAACGAAATCCTGCGCGCAGTCCTCCTCGCAAAATTAAATGGTAAAAGTACAACGACTAGCTCTAAACAATTATTAGATATGCTATGTAAGTCGTACATACCTACTCTAGTATATCTAAGTATGTATATGTATATATGTTGGAGAAGAAGGCACGCAAGTATTCATTAGTTGGCTAACGAAACCTCTTAAAGGAGGAAGCTTTGCAAAGGGCTGTGTAATAGAATATTCCTTCTTCAAAGGACCTCTCGCTCCCTCTCTCTCTCTCTCTCTCTCTCTCTCTCTCTCTCTCTCTCTCTCTCTCTCTCGCCTCGTCCATCTTCATCTCCATCTCTACCTCAGCGACTCTCTTTTACCGTTTACCTTTTACCTTCTATCTCTCATATACTGAGGTATATATATGATATACGTATATACACATATATATATACATTGTACCGTAGACGTTCATACGAGACTCCTTGACTTACTTTCACTAGATTCTAGCGATACACACTTATTACTGCTAGATGTATGATTTCTACGTGGTCGGCTCGTAAGTCCGATCGATACACGGTGTCCTCGAAAAAAACAAACTTCCATCCACCTCGAGCTACAACAGTTCGTTCAGGCCGTATGGACCTTTGTCCCACCCCTTTAGCAGATAAGATACCCAGTGGACATTGAAAGTCCCGATTTTTCGGGAGCACCGTGTACTTATGGTATGATAAACGCGCTTTCTATGCGCATCAAGCAGGAACATTTTAAATTGCGGCGAAACAAGAATTAGGAGTAAAGTACGTTAAAAGAGTAGGTCGAGCAGCTTACTTTTCTCTCGGGCATTCATGCGTTCGGCTCTTCAATGCCTCTACCGTTTCATACTGTGTGCTTCTTACAATTAGGCCAACCTATTGTCTCTGTATTTACGTAATTCTCTTTCTCGCTCTTTTTGCTCTTCTATTTGTACTTCAATCGGACAATTGAATTTCACACTCATTCGCTCACTCACTCGCTCCTCGCATTCTCAGCTCGTCTCCTGTCTCGTGTCTCATGTCTCGTGTCTCATGTCAGCATTATATCTCATCAAGTCATCACGCACAGGACTTGGCTGCTCGACTCACCGAAAGAGCAACATAAGACCGCCGAAGAAGGACTGAAAGTTGTTGTGATCATCGATATCCGTGCCCGGCACGTTCATCAAATTTCCAAAGACCTTAAATGTCAAATGTTTATGATCACTAGAGACCTCTGGGGACTCGCACGCCACGTGTCTTTGGCTTGCCTACCTATGCACAATTGCACGATTGCACGTACTTTTTATTTTTAACAGCTCCCTAAGTTCATTCATTAGACTTTCATGTAGAATTTTGCCTTTTCAAGACTAGATGGGTGGGTAAGAAACGAGAGTCTCGTTACTCGAGAATGAATAGCTCAATAGTTGAGTAGTTGAGTAGTTGAGTAGTTGAGTAGTTGAGGAGTTGAGTAGTTGAGTGGCTCAATAGCCCAATAGCCCAATTGGTCCTACTACAGGCCACAGTCATTATCCACGTGTGTCGTGTATTTATAATTGTTATCTATCATACGGGATTGTGTCCGAAAGAATTTATTTTCAAGGTTAGCCTCCGCTGCCATTCTCCAAGATATTCATTCCCGACGGGATTCTTTCGTCATCAACCTTTCGATATTCCTGCTACTATACTTTTGCCGTGACTTTTTTTTTCTCCCAGTAATTCGTTAATTAGATGGTGCACTTTGCGCGACATTCAAGGAGGTTTTTCTTTTAGAAAAATAAAAATCAAAGTTAAACGTGACTGCTTGAGAATTAGTCAAGCTCGTAGGATTGTCTCAGCCTCTAAGGGCAAACATACCGAAGGTAAGGTAAGTAGATGAAGGACGCGATGCCGAATAAAATTAGGAGGGAAATTATTTAATTTTACCTGATTCTACGAGCGTGTCTAATGACTCCGTGCTTCAATTTCTAATGTCGAATAGTGTCGAATAAATTCGAATAAATTCCAATAAATTCGAATAAATTCGACTAAACGTGGCGACGATTTCGCACTTGCGAGAGAACTGCTTCGTGTACCGCGAATACGTTTGAAATCTCGAATTTTCTCGATAATCTCTCGAAGGTGAAGATAATCAATGCGTACCTGCATTCCAATAATGGCGTATATGAAGAAAAGCATGGCGATGAGTAGACACACGTAGGGCAGGGCCTGAAAATTGACAAGAGGTTCAGAGTTAAACGATGATCATTGAACGACAAGACAAAGTGTTTTCGTTATAGTGTTTTCGAGAGTCTCGAATGATGGTTTTACCTTGAAAGACTGCACGAAGGTCCAAAGTAAAATTCGTATAGTGTAACCCTGCCGTAGAAGTTTAATTAGCCGGGCGGCACGAAATAGCCTGAGAAATCCGACATTGATGAAGTTCTCCTGCAAAGGGCAAAGAAAATTGCACTTAACGAAAGAGGCAGTTGAGTTTGTTTCCTTTGGTGAAATTTTGGACTTCACCCAAGCAACGCTTCGTCCCTTGCGAGTTCCCAAAATTCCCTCGGGCAATTTTCGAAAATCGCTACGAGCTCTGCAGGGTTGCGTGTGCGAAGCTATCAAAATTAACTATAGGACCCATACCGAGTACACGTATATTGGGAAACTAGAAAACTGGAAAACTGGAAAACTGGAAAACTGGAAAACTGGCAGTATTTGGTCGGCGCTGAATTATTTGAATGGAAAGAGGGCATGTGTGTTCCTGTGAATGTCACTGCGATATGCACAAATGGGACAAAGTGACGTGACGATTGTTTCAATACGGAGGGGACAGACGTGACAGTCTTGTGAGAAAGTGTGAAAGTGTGAAAGTGTGAAAGTGTGGAAATATGCTTGATAAGCTGAACGTTGGTTCAACTAATTCAAGTTAACGTTTCGTAGCTGCGACAACAACTGTCACAGAGTAGGAAGTTTTCTCTTTTCTCGACGTTCCTTTTACTATCCCCTTTGATTAAGAGGAATAGTAAAATCAAGTGTACTTTGTAGGCTCCTACTGTATCGGACAAGGAGGATCGTAGGTACTGCAAGTGACGAAGACAGTCCACACCAACTGACTCAGGTCAAAGGCTACTGTTTTCCCGGATTCATTGAAAAGATAAATAATTGACCCACTGAGAAATCCAACAGGAGGCAACGTATTCGATAGAATTAGAGGAGGGATTTACATAAGAACCTACGACTAGCGGCAGATTAGTCAAAGGAAGCCAGGAAAGCGATCCGAATGAAAGTGATCGACCAAGAACGATCAGTCGAGCCGAAGGCGAGGGACTTGGGAACTTCCGTCAAAGTTCGCAAGTCAGACTAAGGGAAGAGAAAAGTCGAAAATAGTGCAACTGCGGCGCTTGGATATTCTATCTTGAGGAATTTGTTAAATTTCCGAATAAAGCGAGCAGCTAGCGGCGCGACGAGACGCGCAAGCGTTGCGATTTGCGATTTGCGATTTACGATTTACGATTTACGATTTACGATCGACCGTTGACATTATTACAAATTTACTGTACTCGTACATTAATGTGTATGTATGTACCTGCTCTTCCGATGAACCTGGAGGCGCGAACCTTTGCTATGATGTGAGTGAAGTGACGTTAGTGTAGATTATCATTATTTCTTTTAAGGACAAAATATTAGTAATTTCTTCCGGAGCTATGTTCTGAAAGTTACTGCCAGTATCGAGACCAGAGCCTGTGTCCTTACTCATCTAACCATCTACCCATCTACCCATCTACCCATCTCAGAGGGATGCAACTAATTTCCTAGTATTTTCAGTAAATTTCGGAACACACTCTAGGTAAATCATTGTGATTATTTGTCATTTTTTTAACAATTAATAAAGTTCATCCGAACCAGCTCTCGTTCGTTCACAAGAAAATACATTGCCGCTACTTTTTCATAATTATGAGCCCTTGGCCCACGATCCGAGCAACTTTTAGTTTAGAGGAACTTTAATAATTCAAGATATCTAATTATGCCTGAATTTGTAGAATATTTAACTGTTGTATTGTTAGAATAAAAAATGAAGCTCTACGTACCCCGAATTCAATGACCAGAGCGTCCACGATGCTACCGATGACCGTGATGAAGTCGAAGATGTTCCAGGGATCCTTGAAGAAGTTCTGCCCAAACAAATGAAACGTTAGAAAGTCTTCATTTAACATTCTTATTTTTCTATCTTTCTTGGACGCTGCTGGGAAAAGCAGAAATCTGCAATTAAACACTCGACGCGACTTTAACTCTTTCATTGTCATCCAAACGATATACTATCTGCTTATATCAGGTGTCGCAAATGTAATGCATTTCAAATTCAGCAATGTCCAAAAGAGAGAAAGAGAGTGAGAGTGAGAGAGTGAGAGAGAGAGAGAGAGAGAGAGAGAGAGAGAGAGAGAGAGAGAGAGAGAGAGAGAGAGAGCGCATGTACGAAATAATTAGTATGCCGTCTACTATCTTGTAATAAAAAGTTAATTTTGAAAGCATGGCCGGTGTTATTACGCAATGCGTGTAAGGTGCTTCGGTGCGCGCGCGCGCGCGCGCGCGAGCGTGTCTCTGTTAGTAAGTGTGTATATCTATGTGTGTAGGTGTCAAAGTGTTTTTGCGTTTCTGCGTTTTTGCGTTTCTGCGTGTAACGAAAGTCAAGTCGATCGGTGACGGGATCTTTCTAAAGATCTACGGGAGAGCATGCCGGTCGTTCACAGCAAGCATTTAGAAGAATCGTAATTCGCGGATCTAGCCGAGGTTTGTCGATTACTCGTTATACGGTAGATCATTTACAAAGAAAAAGTAACTAGAATCTTAGTACGCGCAGAGAAAGACAACGTGTAGCTGTATGTCAAATGAACGAAAGCAAACTGACAGCGAGGATCCAACTCTGCGTCCACTTTGTCATCAGGTAATTAGACTTTAATCGAAGCAAACTAAAGTATCATTTTCCTATAATTTTTTTTTTTGTATAGTACGTCGACTCTTGGCTGTAAAACAGAGAAACGGAACGGTTGACGGCGGCAAGAAAACATTGTATCATTTATGAGAAAAGACTGGACCCGCGGCTGTCCGAGCTTCGCTCGCTCCGGCATTTCCTTGGCCAGCGGAAGCGGAAGCGGCAGCTGCGCGCGCATCGTTCGCCGCTTCCGGCTCTTCGCGACGGACAAATGAAAGTTAGTAGCGAGTAGGTGTAAAAGAGGTGAGAGTAAAAGCTTGGCTGTACCTTGCATCCGAAGGCGATGAGTTTAAGGATGCACTCAACGAAGAAAAGTAGGGTGAAGATCAAGTTCATGGCGCCCAAGCTGTCCACTAGAACTGGCGGCGCTTCGTGATACTACAAAACACACCCAACACACAGACGTAACACCGATCGCTAACTCGAGGACTCTTGGCAGCCCGGTAACTATTGTCACGTATCTGATAGATAATGCATCAATTTTCTTCATTTACTTATTTAGTCACATGAGAAACGACAAGAACAGAGGGAAAAGGACAATGCTTCTCGATTATCGCACATTCGCACGTGACAACGGTAGGCTCGGAGATCTCCTAATAGAAGCTAATAGATCCTCGTGGCGTCGGTCACGAGGATTTCCGGTCCTCGCGGTGCGTCCATCCTGGAATCCACATTCCGATCGGCGCGCACAGCTTCCTCCTGCTTCCTGCTCGGAATGTACATTCGCGGATGGACGGCACGCGACGGGGACGCGGAGAGGGCAGGCAAGCCATTCCACTAGGGGCTGTGGAGGGGTCAGGGGTCAGAGGGTGGTCAGGGTGGTCAGGGTGGTCAGGGTGGTCAGGGTGAAACAGGTCCAAGGTACGAAACAGCATTCTCAGATGGCAGGGTTTTGTACTCGGGATAATAGTTTACCAAAATATAAAGATACGTCATTCCTGGGGAATATTTTTTTTATCTCAACATAATCGCGCGTCTTTGAGGGAAAATTGCCATTTGCATTCTTGGCCTATCTAGCAAGTCTAACCAATCTTCATATGGTACAATCGGAGTTTCTTTCTTCTTTTTTTTCTTTCTATTCTTTTCATTTTTACACCCTAACGTGATTTCGTTCACGAGGTACGAGACGCAATATTCATTCAACAAGGTAAGGTGCATGCGGGACGTAAGATAAGAATTTAAAAAATTCATTAATCATTATCATCGGTGTCATCGGGTCTCATATCACCTCTATCATTCTCATAATAATTAATCATCATCTTACTGGATCAGCCCAATATATACGCAGCCACTTGTGATATCAGCATGCAAGGATCGAGACACGTGACATGCAGGTCCGTTTTGCATGCAGACGTATGTAGAGAGAGAGAGAGACGAAACATGCAGGAACGTGGAGGCGTCGTGGATCGTTCAGTTTGTAGCTTCGGATCTTTCTACGTAAAACGAATATGAAACCCAAGGAGGATCCATAAGTCAGTGGGACAGCACGAAAGACGAAGGGAGAGGAGAAACAAAGGAATGTGTATTGCAGCAGAGAAGCCGTCCTCCTCCTTCCTCCTTTGGAAAGGAAAAGAGCCAAAGGAAGCGCAAAGCTTCGCTCGAGCTTTGGCAGAGCGTCGATAATTCTATGTCCATGTGACTCCGTGTGTCTTCCGTGTGACGCGTGTGACGCGTGTTTTTGCGTGTGTGTGCGTGTATGCTTGTTGCGTACGTGTGGGGACGAGTGTCCTAATTACCTTCGAATACCGAGCAAGAACGGGGGGAGGAGGAGGAGGAAGGAGAAGAAAGATCAACGCGGATTTGACGAGAGAAAGAGGAAAAGAAAGTAAGAAAAAAATAAATAGAACACAGAGCAGCTCATTCTAGGAAAGTGCACGGTATTCGAAGTAACGTATCGATGGCGCAGCACATTATCGGATTTTCATTTAGCTTTAATTTCTCTATGTGTACGTTATGTATCCGCAATTAGGATCCATCGTGATGAACTGATGATGAATCGTTTTTCTTTAGGAAAACGCTCTAGACGTTCACTAATAAGCGAGACTTACCAGTCTTCAAGAAATCGCATTCCGTGGCGTCTCCTGTTTCGCGAGCAACGGAAACAAGACTGAGAAATTGCAAGAGTCGAAAGTGCAGAAGGCGCACAGGGCGCACAGGACCTCCCAGGAGATGCCAGGAGATGCCAGGAGATGCCAGGAGATGCCACGGGAACGTTAGTCGGGAGCATCCTGGGGGCTCGCATGGCGCCGCCGCAGGGTAAGGACGTTGGGGACCTTTTTTGGGGAGCTTACCCTGAAGCCAAAAGCGGCGATCTTCAGAGTGCACTCGATGGTGAACATCCCGGTGAAGCATATGTTCATGTACTTCAGTATATTCTTGTGCAGCTCGCTCTGCCGGTGGTACTGCAATGCACACACTGACAAACACACGGCCCACAGAAACAGAGAGACAGAGAGAGACAGAGAGAGACGGAGAGAATGCCAGAGATAACAATAATGATCCCTCCCTTCTAGGCCGGATTGCCTCTAAGGAGAATTATACAGAAAAAGAAAGAGAGAGAGAGAGAGAGAGAGAGAGAGAGAGAGAGAGAGAGACAGAAGTGACAACAGGGGACTACCATATGTCGACCGCTTAATTGACAGCAGTTAGACGTACAAAGTGAAAGCACAAGAATTTACAATTCACATTTTTTTAAGATTCAAGAATAAACATTCAATTCAGATTAAACTTTTTCATTTCATCTCCTACAATTTTCTTCCCGAAAACCCTTTATCGATATTCAAGCTTTTAAATATGATAAAAATGTCTCTTTCATCTTTAAACTTTGACACTGGCGACACGATTGCTGATATTTCATGATTGCAGACGATTCAAAGATATATTTTCTATGAGTATGGCAATTATATAAATTAGTGACAAGAGATAGAGAGAGAGAGAGATAGAGAGAGAGAGAGAGAGAGAGAGAGAGAGAGAGAGAGAGAGAGAGTGAGTTTGTCATTGGGCTACATAATGTATACTATATACGTATATTGATATGCAGAGAGGCTATATGGTGTTGCAAAATTGCAAAATTGCAAAATTGCAAAATTGCAAAAGACTTGGCACCAAAGTAAGTGGGTATCATATCGTGTTTTGTACTATGCAATATTAATAGGGCCGGTATTAACGTGGATTCAGAGAGAAACGTGGAGTACGATAAATAGGATAACGAATTAACGATGGACAGCAAAGTGGTTGTTAGCGACAGTGGCCTTTTTTTGTTTAGACAATGACGGAGAAATCATGTGCTTTCTCACTTTTTGAGAAACGAACGAAGGAGACGCTCAGACGTATCTCTTGCTTGATATTACAGTCGCGCGTCAATTTCTCCGTAATTGTAAGAAAGAAAAGTAGCATCATCGTGAAACAATAAACAGATTAAAAGGTAAAAGAAACAGAATGAAAATAAGATAAAAGCTCTCTCTCGAGAATGCACAAATACAGAACACGGCTCAAACTATAAGAAACGAAAAATTCATTCGATTGAATTCGAAAGGGATCGAATAGGGGAGTGTGAGGAGGGGCGTGAGGAGGGATCACGGACACACGAGGAACGTGTCAATGGATCTTTCGATTCTTCTTTTTCTCTTGGTCGATATTTCCCTTTCGACGGTGACAACACGGTGTAGCCGTCTCGAAGGAACCCGCCGTGCAAAACAACACTGCTTTCGTACATACAATCAAAGTGTTGCTCGAATAATCTCATCATTTCAGCCAGCATGCGACACGTAATTTTTTAGAGACGCGAGAGAGCGATCGAGAGTTCCTGCTGCTGCCGAAGCCCGTTGGGGAGTCGCGTAGCTGCCGTACTAAGGGATTCCCCTTACGTCTTTGCCTTTTACGTCTTTACGTGACGGCGCATGATAAAGTCAAAGTCGACATTCGATGTCTCCACGTTGAAGAATTTGTGCAAAATCAGCGCTCGAAATCAGTCGGTCTCGGCTAGTCGCGTCTCTCGATTCGCTCTCGATTCGCTCTCGATTCTCATTGAAATGTCAGTGCAGTGCGCGAGCAAGAGAACGTCAGTGAGTTGGAGGTAACTGCGCATTCAGGCAACGTTCGACAAAACAGAGAACTCATTACGTCAAGGAAATATAGGACTCATGTGTGGGACGCACATGTGCAAAGGTTGGGCAAGGAAAACAAGAGACAATGAGAGAAATCACGTGAGGTGTTTTTGAGAGTTTCGTGTGAAGCTATATTGGACGGCCGATCGGCGTCCAATTTGCCGATTCGGTCTGCGATGGAAACTGAGTCGATAGGAATACTGCACAGCGAGACTATAGGGATCCAAGGACATTCTCAATTATATTGCACTTTGACTCTCGATCCTTTGCCAGCTTTGCCAGCTTTGCCAACGCTGTAAGGAACTATAGTGCCTTGTAAAAAGGTCCGAGCAAAAGATCGCGAAAGCCGAGTAATTCTATTGTGTCACGCGTCGTCCCGTTGCTTTTTTTTTTTTTTATGGAAACGCGCCCTGTGCATTATTCCCAGCCAGGAACATTATGGATTTCTCATCTAAAAGTCCTAATCACAGTGTCGTGGGATTCACAGGTACGATCCAAGAGGTTAATCCCTGCTTTGAAAAGAGAGCTACGATCAAGCGAGGACACGATGCTCGCCATGCAACCTCTTATCGAGAGAGACGATTGAGAAATAAAATGCCAGAGAGAGAGAGAGAGAGAGAGAGAGAGAGGGGAGGGAAAGGGGAGGGAGGAGGGAGAAAAGGGCAGTTAGAGACGCAATGTGAAAGAGAAACGTGAAAGTTGGAGAATATCAAACAAACTTGCTAAAAGCTCAAAGAAGATTAATTCTTCCTTCTCTTTCTTCTCCTCTACATTTTTTTCAAGACAACCAAATTCACAACCACATAGACACCGTATGAAAGAATGAAGGAAGGAATCTCAAGTGTATAATCGGAATGACGTGTGGGAGATGAGGGACTGCCCAATTACGGACAATTAAGTGGACGTTCGATCACACATCGTAAGAGGATCTTTTTGTCGTGTCGTGCTTTTGTTTCAAAATTTACAACTATGTTTAAACATGAAAATTGACGTCTTGATAAAATTGAAGAGGTGGCTATGAATAGAGAGAAGTTAATAAATATACAGTTATACACATATAGGTTACATATGGTATACAGTGAGTGTCTATAATATTAAAAATAGTTATGTGTGTATCGACGAAAATAGAGACGAATGACAATTACACAAGGAAACACATAATTTGGCAGGCAAAATGCAACGAAATTCTCGTAGGACTGGATTGTCCATAGACAAACGCTTAACGGCATATTGCATCGATAATCGCTATTGGCTTCTTCTCTTTCACAATTTCACGTTGCTAGGCAAAGCTGCTTGTCGATTGGTTAAAATTGCCAAAAAGAGTTGTAGACCGTGTGAAGGGGTCTGAGAAGACGTAGAGAGGAATTAAGGGAGAGGAAAAGAGAAAGAAGAATTAAACTGAAAGAATATAGAAAATGATGCATAAAGAGCACGTATCGACTGATAGGGGCTAGATTGAATTGAGGGGGGCAGGGCGGGGGGTGGAGAGAAAAAACCCAGACATATGTCGTATGGGAATGGGAAAAGGGAAACATCAACGAGAAAAAAAAAGGAAAAAAAAAAGGAAAAAAGAGGAAAAATAAAAATAAATTGAAAGCGCCTAAAGAACTCCGCAGTGTTGATTCTCCTTGAAATCTCTCTTTGACAGTTTGCGGATCGTAGAAGAGAGGAATTAACGTGACCGAGGTGAATCGTTAAGCGATAAAAGAAACAAATCTTTCTGCACAATTATTAATAATTGATCGATCTTGAGTAGGTTTCAGTATCGTGTAATGGAAGCTTACCTTCATCATGAGCAGAAGTGTATTAAGAACGATGAGGATCATGATGAAGTACTCGAATGGCGTTGATACTACTATCCTCCAGATCTTGTATTTGACGCTGTTTCTTTTGTTGGGCATATACCTCTCTAAAGGTCTGGCTTGTATTGTAAAGTCTATACACGATTTCTGTAAACATAAATACATTAGAAACAGCAAGGTAAAAAATGTAAAGCGAGATAAGCGAATGAAAGCTGACGAAGGATCGAGGATCGAAGATATCTATAGCGTTACCTGGTTCTTGTCGATTTCGCCATCTTGCAGCTCCGCCTCGCCCTGCTCCTGGAAAGTGATGATGATCAAGGCCACGAAGATGTTCACGAAGAAGAAGGGAAAGACGACGAAGTAGACTATGTAGAATATCGACATTTCGATACGAAAATTTCGTATGGGACCCTTATCCTCATAAGTGGCCGCCATCGAGTTTTGTAGAACTTGCGGCCATCCCTCGCCAGTCTGCACAGCGAACAGCGTGAGCATCGCTGCCATCACGTTGTCGTAATGAAAGGATTGCGACTGCCATTCCCGTTTCTTCTGCGTGGGCAACAGTGCGCCGTCCTCGAATACGAAATATTGACCCCTAGAGAAACAACAAGAGGTTACGTCGTTAGTAAGTATTGTAACCTGCCGGAATATGTGGTTCCGGTGAGCACGATGAGCAACCGCGATTATTTACCGCCACGTCCCCATCGAAAGGTGGAGACCTGGTCTGGTCATCCGCGGTATCAGAATACAAGATGTCTACTCACTGACACTCGTCGGACGTGTACTTGCTCTCGTCGGTGCAGAAGAAGAACTTCCCGTTGAAGAGTTGAACCGCTATCACAGCGAAAATGAATTGGAATAATATGTACACTATGAGGATGTTTATGACGTTTTTCAAACTGTTCACGACACAGTCGAACACTGCCTTGAGCTTTGGTACTCGTTTAATAGTCTTGAGGGGCCTTAGGACCCTCAACACTCTCAAAGACTTGATCGTCGAGAGATTCTGTCCTGCGGAACTGCCTGTCATATCGAAGGCGAATGACACGGCGGCGCAAATTACCACCACGGCGTCCATAATGTTCCAGAACTCGCGCAGGTACGAGCCCGGATGAAGTATTATGCCCAGATCGATGATCTTCAGGATCATTTCGACGGTGAAGACCCCGGTGAAGGCATAGTCGAAGTAATTCAGGACCGTGTTCCTTTTTGAGTACTCGTCGACCGGATCCTCCGCGGCCAGTGCGATACTCGACAACGAGATCACCACCATGATGAAAAAGTCAAAGTACCTCAGATTTACGACCCAATGAGCGCCTCTCCTTATGCTGCAAATTTATTTGATTTACTTATTATCCGTTTCTAGGATACTCTGTTGCTTGACAGAGCCCCCTCCATACGGGCAAACAGAAGAGACAGCAAGAAAAGACTTACGGATTCGTGGGGGACAGTATAAACATGGAGGAGTATGGCAGCATTGGTTTTGGTCCCGTGTCTTCGTCGTCGTCCTGCTTCTTCTCTTCGGACGCCTGCTTGCCGCCCTTTCCACCTTTACTGTAAAACGACGGAGATTTTTCCACATGACGATGCACACCTCCCCTCCTCGTCTCTTATGTCGCCTAGATAACGGGAGTATCGTTGCCACTTACAAATTTTGTGTTGGACTTGGCGGGCATATTTCGACCTTTGGAGGACTACCGTCACTGGACATCTGCAGAGCTCCCATTTCCTTCTCGAGTTCCTGCATCTGTCGGTCCTTGTCCTCCTCCTCCTGTTCCTCCTCGGCGGCGGTCAGCTCCTGAGCATTGGCCAGATTGTCGACGGCGATAGCCAAGAAGACGTTCAGCAGCGTGTAATTCCCGAAGAGTACTAAGACTATAAAGTAGAGCGAATAAACCATGCCCTTCTTGTGGCCACCCTGAGATTCGATGCCCTGGTACATCACCTCGTTCCAGTCTTCACCGGTCAGAATCTATTGAACCAAACAACATTACGCATTAGCCTCCCAGTCTCACTAGTAGTACAGTAGTAGTAATAGTAGTAGTAGTAGTAGTAGTAGTAGTAGCTTCGAGTGCAAGAACGTCTCATTGATCGGGAATATTTATTAGCTCATCAGGAAAGGCCAAGCAACGCGACTCTCTTTCCATTCGGAATGTAAATCTCAAAGGATCCTAAGCCAGCTTCCAAAGACGACTCTGATCAAGAAAGTAATTGGCAATTGGCAATTGGCAAAGTGGGAAGAAGTACTTACTTGGAAGACAGTGAGCAACGCGATGGGAAAAGTGTTGAAGTTGGTGGGAGGCGTGCCATCGGGAAAGTTGAACTGACCACCGAAAAGCTGCATACCGAGTAGGGCGAATATGAGGATGAAGAGGAAGAGCAGGAATAGAAGGGAGATGATGCTGCGCATTGAGTTCAGCAGGGAGATTACGAGGTTCCTCAAGCTGGACCAATATTTGGTAACTTTGAATATCCTGAGGAGGCGAAGGGCACGTAGGACGGAGAGACCGAACGAGCCGGACTTTACTTCCGACCAGATCACCTCGAAGATCGAGCCGGAAATGACGACGCAGTCGAACCTATTGAAGCTCGACTCGAAGTAGATGCGTGGCCCGAGGGCGTACATCTTAATGAACATCTCCATCATGAAGAGTCCCAGGAACACGAACTCTGCGTAATCTGTAAAACGTATAAAGAAATTAATGTCAACGAGAGTGGCAGCTCCCATCGGTGCAACAAAGTATTCAAAGGGTCCCTATACTCACAGAGAAACGCGGTGAGCCACTTTGGCTGGTTGTAATGCTCGACCGCTACGCAGATGGTGTTGAAGAACACAAGAACGATGACGAACCAGTAGAACCACTGGGTCTTCACCGTGTGACGTATCCAGAACCTAAATCTCTTCTCGGCACGCCAGAACTGCTGGCAGGCACCCTTGTTCTTCACTTTGGTCTTGAGGTAGGAAGCTCTCGAGAACCCTAGAAAGAACACGCAGCGCTTTCAGTCAACGCGAGGACGGGGACTGACCTTGCGCAACGAAGGAATCGTTTGCCAATCATCGGATACTCGTTTTCCCGATCATTAAGATAAATCGCAGGATCACGATAGAGTCGCACGTCGTCGATCCGCAAAAATGCAAATTTTTATCTTTCTCAACGTTAAAAATCAATTTTCACAAGCACTTTATTGAAATTTCGATTAATCGAATGCGGCCTCTTTTGAAAAAGCCCAGCAAAGTGACTGACAGGTTTTCAAAGTGTTCCAACGATTCCTCCTAGTACTTTTTTCTTCAGACAATACGAGTCTATTCTATGGGTATACTATATACATATGTATATATGTATATGATATTTATTTTATGGAACTCTCTACAAGCGGGTATCACACTATATGGACTAGCAAATCGTATTACTATGTGCGTTACGTTGTAAAAAAGGCCGCGCCAATAGTTTTCGAGGCACTTCAACTCTCGCAAGATCTATGATCTATGATCTATGAGGTCCTGGGTTCTTCAAAGTGGTCAGGGTATTCAGAGGGGGAGGTTTTACGGGAGATATGTATGTATAAATATATACTGTATATAACTGTCTAGTAGTAAGAGTAATAATAATAATAATAATAATAATATATGCCTCTACTTTATAAAATGAAACTGATGAAAAACCAAAGGTACTACTTGAGAACTGGCTGTGCTAGCTAATAGATAGTGGCTTTCAACTAAGATACATAGAATAATCAGCGCTCCATCGCCATCGGGCATACCTAAATAAACGACAGATACAAGAGACGCGGGATGCTCGGTTAATGACGAACCAGTCCAAATAGGCAAACTGGGCAAAGCGAGCACAGAGCCGGGAATCCCGCGTCTTAAAGAAATATATATATATATATATAGTCACAGCAGCCAACAGAAGCAACAAGATACCTAGGAATCAAATGAAAATTAGTATAAGTGGAAATGTCTTGCTGCAGTCTCGCCATGTTTCAAATTTATACGCAAATACATAGATCAGTCAAATTAATTCGGCAAACCAATGGAATCCGTACGAGCTTCAATGACTGTACCAAAATGTGTAATATATATAGATGATAATGAACGCATCGCGTGATATACTGTTTTCTTGTTATTTTCAAAATTATTATCGCTCTACCGTCTCTCTCTCTCTCTCTCTCTCTCTCTCTCTCTCTCTCTCTCTCTCTCTCTCTCTCGTTCTCTCTGATGTCATTTAAATGTCTCTGCTGACGATCGTGCATCATTGTACGTCACGACAAGTGTGGATGGTCGGATGGTTGGATGGTCGGATGGTGGGATGGTCGGATACTCGTAGGTCCATCGGCTTTCCACGCTCAGCAATCAATTACAGTAAACCAAGTATCTAGCTACGCGACGCTGCCAACTCTGCGTGTTTAATGATACTTGATGCTTTGACGGGCACGCGTCATCATTACGGCAGCACATAATACACGTATCAAGTATACATATTGTGTGCGCCACTCTTTCTCTCTAGTTGCAGAATACGATAGATACGACAGATACGCATATTACTGGCACAATACGTAATACCTCCAATAAGTAACACAAAGAGTTACGTCAAATGATATATGCGCACTCTACATATATCTATATATTTTTATATTTTGATGCATTCGTGGTTTGTAGTTACCTTTCAGTTTTTTCTTAGGCACTGAAACAAGAGGAGCATCTGATAGCGTGTGTTTAGAATGTTCATCGACAAGGTTGGAGGGTTGGGCTTCTCTTACGTAGGACGCGAGACGCACGTGGCAACAAGATGAAAAATGAAAATGCACTTGGGGGGCGGTGGGGGGGGGGGGGGGAAGAGAAA